GTCTGCGTGATCTGCTTCAGCAATACTAACTCTTTAAAATAGTTGCATAATTGTTCCTCTATTTTAGCCGTTTTATCATGTGTCTCAATGGGCCCAATGACAGTAAACTTCGAACTATCGTTCAGGATGGTATGTGTCTTCGTGATGTAGTCATGCTTGTTATTTATTGCGTTGATTACATTTTTATCTCCACGGAAGCTTTTTAATTATTATTATTATTATTATTATTTGATAACCGCAATCAATAAAACCAGCTGAACCGACATTTGTGTACTTTATTCATGCAATGTAAAAACGGTGGAGACGATGTGCAATAAAACGATGAAAATATGAAGCAATGGTGTAGGGAAAAAATATATGGATTCAAACAAGTTTTCGTACAACACTCATCAGGAATCGTCGTTGTACTAAAGGACACTGAAACAAAAATTGAACTATTATAGAAAATCTAAGTTACAGAAATAACACTAAGAGCAACAACAGTGAAATTTACAAGTGTGAATTTTAACAATCAAAGCGAGAAATGAACAAAGGAGAAAGGAAGGAAAGACAACGTGATAACACATAACAGCAGTACATTACACCTAGAACATTAACGGCCAAGCTTGGCCGCACTAAACACGACACGTTACTTAAACAATTTCAACCCAATTATACTATCTTTCTGTACACACAAATTAGGCTTGTACAGACGCTGATAGATAGCTTCCAACACTTTTAACTGTAGTCCATAACCATGACGACCACGGCACAATACAGTGAACGAAGCGAGGGCGACCTAGAAAACAACCAATAACCACACAGCCGTTGCCTACACAACCCGCGGACCCTGGCTCACGGACTGTGCTTGCTCCGCCGTCGCTGGTGGCGGTGGGGGAGGAGAATGGGCGTGGTGGCTCATCGGGTCGGCTTGAGTCGCCGCCTTTGCTCCGGCCGTCGGTGGTTCCCTCGTCAGTGCCCCCGGCGGCTTTGGCTGGGGTGGTGCCGCTTGCGGTCCCGGTCCCACTGCCTCCTCCTGATCCTCCACCATCGGTTCTTGCGGCGGTGGAGCTTGCCAGTGGGAGACCGCGAGCAACACTGACAGCTGCATTAACACTACAAATGCCGACTCAAAAAGACCCACCTTGCATATCAGTAGCTCCCACACCAACACCAACAACGCAATATACAGCAACCACAACTAATCCACCATCCAAGCCCACAATTGAAAGACCAAGACGATCAACAGCCAACTACAACAGAAGCTACGCACTCAGCGGACAAGGGCGAAAGGAGGGATGTGATAGCAGGGTGACGGCCGAGTTGACTTCAATGGACCCGGTCAGGCGGGATGGACGAGACAGAGAGAGTACAGAGGAAGCGGAGGATGGAGCGGACGGCGGAAGGAGCAGTGAGTCGGAGAGCAGTGATGGGAGTGATGGTGAGAATGCCGGTGAGAGTGTTAGTGTTGTGCGTAGGTTTCGTGGTAGCAAGTCTTCAGTGTACAATCATCTGCTAGCTAGTCCTGATTGTTGCAATTCGTATTCCGACTCTTCGTTCACTGTATTGTGCCGTGGTCGTCATGGTTATGGACTACAGTTAAAAGTGTTGGAAGCTATCTATCAGCGTCTGTACAAGCCTAATTTGTGTGTACAGAAAGATAGTATAATTGGGTTGAAATTGTTTAAGTAACGTGTCGTGTTTAGTGCGGCCAAGCTTGGCCGTTAATGTTCTAGGTGTAATGTACTGCTGTTATGTGTTATCACGTTGTCTTTCCTTCCTTTCTCCTTTGTTCATTTCTCGCTTTGATTGTTAAAATTCACACTTGTAAATTTCACTGTTGTTGCTCTTAGTGTTATTTCTGTAACTTAGATTTTCTATAATAGTTCAATTTTTGTTTCAGTGTCCTTTAGTACAACGACGATTCCTGATGAGTGTTGTACGAAAACTTGTTTGAATCCATATATTTTTTCCCTACACCATTGCTTCATATTTTCATCGTTTTATTGCACATCGTCTCCACCGTTTTTACATTGCATGAATAAAGTACACAAATGTCGGTTCAGCTGGTTTTATTGATTGCGGTTATCAAATTATTGTCTCCTCGCCGTGTGTTTAAATTATTATTATTATTATTATTAGGAAAGGTTTGCTCCCCACACCGGAGCTCGCGCTATTCCGCCGATTTACTTGACACTTGACTGACTCACGACTGCCATCCAGAGTACACGAGAAGTCCATCGAACCTTCGACTCGGCAAACCTGCAAGAAAGCACCACTCCCTGCTCAATACACAGTGTTTCGGGGAATTCACCCCTCATCAGTTGAGCTTGAGTAGGCTGAGGAAGATTGTGCCTGAAGAGCACCACTTATATAATGCTCTCCAGGCACAAACATCACCAGGGATACAAACTTACAGAGACGCTCCGCTTCCAGCGCGACAAACACCTCGTGAACACCAGATAGTAGCGTGAGTCAGTGTCGCTCCTGGACGGTGAGACAAACGTCGAGGACCCTCGGTCATTCGCAACGCTGTCACCTCCAAACCAACTAGTCGCAAGCCCGCGCTGGGCACAACAGTACGAAGTAGTGGTTGCGACTTCGGCGATGATTTGTAGGAAAGGTTTGCTCCCCACACCGGAGCTCGCGCTATTCCGCCGATTTACTTGACACTTGACTGACTCACGACTGCCATCCAGAGCACACAAGTGTCAAGTAAATCGGCGGAATAGCGCGAGCTCCGGTGTGGGGAGCAAACCTTTCCTACAAATCATCGCCGAAGTCGCAACCACTACTTCGTATTATTATTATTATTATTATTAAATAGTGGTTGCGACTTCGGCGATGATTTGTAAGAAAGGTTTGCTCCCGTCTGTCTCACCGTCCAGGAGCGACACTGACTCACGCTGCTATCTGGTGTTCACGAGGTGTTTGTCGCGCTGGAAGCGGAGCGTCTCTGTAAGTTTGTATCCCTGGTGATGTTTGTGCCTGGAGAGCACTATATAAGTGGTGCTCTTCAGGCACAATCTTCCTCAGCCTACTCAAGCTCAACTGATGAGGGGTGAATTCCCCGAAACACTGTGTATTGAGCAGGGAGTGGTGCTTTCTTGCAGGTTTGCCGAGTCGAAGGTTCGATGGACTTCTCGTGTGCTCTGGATGGCAGTCGTGAGTCAGTCAAGTGTCAAGTAAAGTCGGCAGAATAGCGCGAGCTCCGGTGTGGGGAGCAAACCTTTATTATTATTATTATTATTATTTCCAAGTTGGAAGGCTGTCGGTTAGCGCTACGGAGATGTGTTGAAGCTAGGTGTCAGGACGTTGAATGTTTCAGTACTCTGTCAGTTTTGTGCCTAGTATTGCACTTTCTGACTGTATATAGTATCATGTTACAGTGATGGAGAGTTACTCTTAACTCGTATCGATATGTCCTTTTCTCTTCTACATTATTATTATTATTATTATTATTATAGGCTTTTCCGCGTTGGCATCGCCAAGCAAGCTTGGCTAGCCTTCGCATAAGCTGCTCCATAATGATGAGACGAAACAATGAATGCATGTATATACAATCTAGGGCAGAACCAAGGTTGAGGATATTTTTGAAGAAAGCTGCAAGTTGTATTGAGGAACACAATGTTGCAAACTCTACGAAAGTAAACTGCAAGAAATGTTTGGGGGTTGTTCTCATGATTATTGTAGTCACAGGTTGTGTTAGTAGCATTAAAGGTTGTGTTTTCACAGGTGGCTTGATGGAGTTTTGTTCATAGCTTGTTCGTATACGCTGTGGCGTGACTCGTTTCTAGACCCATAAATATTGTGATATTTCGGCCATTTTGGAGGGTATGCAAATTTCAAGGTTCCCTTCAGAAACTTTTTCAAGAGCTTTGCATAATAGATGCACACCCCAAAAGGGACCTACCTGCAAATTTTGAGCGAAACCGGAGAGATCCACTTGCACACATACTTTGGTATTCTCAGACATGCTCTCTTAAAAATGTTTTATTGCCAGAAGTGGTCTTCATATAAGGAGGCAGACATGCCTGTTTGTTGTTCGACTTTAAATATATCCAACCAACCAACTAACCAACCAATGTCCGGCGAACAGAGAGGTTGAAACAGGATGTTGGGTACTCTGCTATCGAGGTGCGTACCGTTGAGTTCATACACACAAATCGCCAGTGATGTAATGGGAGCTGGCTTCGCGCCAATTCGCGGCGCCGGTTTTGCACTTCGGGCCGGATTTCACCGAGCGCAACTGTAGGTGACAGTATTTTCTGGAAAACACTGACATGGTCACGTTCGTGTATTGCTCGCGAGAAACCGGTTTAGACATTTCTCAAGTTATCTGGTGACATCTGCGCTGTGCTAACTAATTACTTATTACCAACACACAGCATAGAAGTCAGTGAAAGCTTGTGATCTTTCACTAGTTTTAGACATATCATATTCCTAGCACTGAGGTAACATGTGTAGTCATCGAAATATTAACACCTAAGAAAACCAAATTGATATATATAACTTCTCCTTTGCAGACTTCCACTTCATATAGCATCCTGATGAGGGCAATTTGCTAAAAACGTTGAAAATTATTCTGAGAAATGAAAATGAGTTGTGAATTTGCAGTGCCCAGCGATTGAGCATGTGTGCTCACCAATTCTCTTTGAAAAAATGAAGCGGCAATAAAAAGAACTTTCTCCGGTACACACCTGGAGGTTGAACAGCTCTTCTGTTCGACTTTGTTGTTGTTATCAAATCTCATGAAAACAGAAATGGCTAGCAGCTTTTACAGGCAACAGACAACATACGCTAACATATAGGGATACGCTAACGTACGAGGATACGCTACAAGCAAGGCAGTGATACTACACAATGTACATCTTATCCAGGTCATTGGGTGCATATATCGGAAAAGAGATTTTTTGCGTAGTTCTGTTATTTTGATATGCGGTAAATGTGTAAAGCACGGTATAAGAAAATCTTCCAGGAAGTGATATATATCCTATCAAAAATCTACTTTGTTCTCCCAGGGTTTTCTTCGGGAATAAACTTGTTCACCTACCAGCCGGGCTATTCGACGCGACAACCGAATTGAGAAGCCTGTAAGTCATGTTGTGCATGTATCGTAAAAAGGCGTTTTTGTTGGCGTAGTTCTGTTCTTTTAAGATGTGGCATCTATGCATATGCGGATAATGCCGGCAGAAAATTGGCAGAATTCGGTACTTTTCTTGTAAATTTCATGCATGTTTGGTATGTGGATAAAGAAATGGAGCAAAATTCGAGAAATTGCCCGCCATAAGGTTTGTATCGTTCTGCCAATTTCACTGCTTTTCGAGCAGAATCTGCCACCTTTTCGATGATTGTCCGCCAGTAACCAGTGGCATCTCTTTGGTTGGTCTGAGGTACCCTTCCCCACCCTTTATGACCGATATCTGATGCCGCTCACGAGGTGGTCGCAACCAAAGTAAGCGAAAATGTGGTTCGTCATCCACCCTGTACCGAAACCCGTGCAGAACCAAGAGCAGCCTTGTATCAGATACAGTTGAATGTAGACAGCTACGAATGACCATCCGTCTGCTAAGGATGATCATGGCCACTGCAGATAGCCATGGAGTTTTGACATCATGGCGAAGCTTCGACACGCTAGCTGCTATTGCTATTCATTTTCCACTCGTCTTGCTCCTGGGTGCCATTGTCCTGATCTGTCAAGGTCTGAACTGAAAAATAGCTACAACGAGATGTGAGGGCAGTGCTTTTCTTCCCATTGCGCCTGGTGGACGAAAAAATGAAAGAAAAGTTCGCTCTTATTTGTTTGCAGCGTTGACAGCCTTGCTCTGTGACGACTGTCGGCTCTCCAAAATATGAATCATGCTTTCCTACGATTCCGAAATGTCATGTTAGTGTTTCAGGTTTACAAAACCAGAGAAAGATAGCGAAATAACAGCAGCGAAAATTACAAGAGGACAATTCCGGTATATGGATTGATACTGACAATGACCCTCCAGACATCTGTTTCTGTGGTGTTGGTGATGTGAGTGCAGAGTTTGGATCGGCCAAGAGCGCAATGTGGCGGTATGGTGTATTGCTCTTGATATTTCTCACCAATGTAGCCGATATATTCTTATATCCGGTCACTCAATAGCCGATACAGACTGTAGTTGTACACAACTCAATACAGAAGAAAACAGTTCGCGTACAGATACCTCTGTATCGACCTGACGTCACTATCACATTATAGTCAGGCGTAAGAAAAAAAGTTTTCTTTGGCCTCAACTTCTTTGTTGTCCGGTTGGCCATTGTAGCCGTCGACTAGAGTGCAACATAAATCCCTAAACTGGTGACCCTTAACGCTGCCTACTTCGGAGTTTTCTCGATGCGTGCCATCCCTGAGCTCTCAACGCAGTTTCCTGTTCGTCTCAAAACTTGAGCCTCACCATCTCGAAACTGGATCCGCCTCGGAGCTAGTGTGGCCCCTGCTGACCTCCCGGCCCACCTGGATAACCCGCTATCCTGTCACAGCACATCGTTCAGTCGTCTTCGTCTTTTATATTCACCCTGGCCTCAAGCTGGAAATTGGCCACCTCCACCCCAAGTATCAGTTTGCAGGCATACGCGCGGCACAGGACTTGGAGGTACGCACGCCTCCATCAGTCCTCGCCTCACACGGCACGCCTCGCCCCAGTGTTTCCTGTACTCAGTGACTGGTACGTTGCAGCCGCCTCTTACATGATAACACTCCTCTGTCACGCATACATTTCCTCTTTTCTTTCTTTCCAACTCTGACACCCGCCTCTGTCATGCATCTCTCTCTTTTCCACTTTCTGCTTTCTGAGTTTTGTTTTGGTCTTTGTGGCCACGTTATCAACAAACTTCATACAGTACACGCAGCGCTCTCTTGTACATATTGTATTATATGTTTGCCTTTCCGCCTTGTACATGCCGCGCTTCCTTTCTCTTCTCTTTTTTTCTTGTTTATCGTGCTTCGCGCCTCCCGGCCTCACCAATGGCGGGGGAGTACTGTAGCGAACTGACGTCACTATCACATTATAAGCATGTGCAAGATCATAAAACATTCTCTTAGGCGTCACCTTCTTTGTTGTCCAGTTGGCCTTTGTAGCCGTCGTCTAGGGACCGACGTAAAACCCCTGAACCTCTACCGTCTACCTCCATCAATAGAGTGATTCTAACCTACCAGGAAGCTAAAACCGAACGCAGCCTAGAAGGCGGACTGGGGGCTGGGGACTCTATTGGTGCTTCAATGGCTATCTGCGATGCGTAGGAACCCCCCCCCCCCCCCCCCCCAGCACGTACTGCAGCTGGCTCCGATGATTCTTCCTTTCACGTTGGAATTAGACGTTCTTTCCTGGAGAGCCCGAATCTCCTCTCGAAAGTCCGCAATGGCGGCTTCCTTTTTCTGTTCTTTGGAGGCTGTTAGACTTTTCAGGTCCGCAATATCTTGCACAAGAAGACGCACTGTCTCCCTCAGCTGCTTCGTGATCGTAAGCATCCTGATGCTGGCGGCTTGAGGGTCCATCGGTAGCACAGTCTGTAATGCTACTCGATCATTTGGCTGGATTTTTTTCCCGGAGTGCTCCGACGAGCTGAACTTGGCTGAGGCTGGCCAAGTTCATATTGTTGCCCCTTGCTAGGCTTTCCGGCCCTAGGTATCCAGAATACCAAAATCTATGGTAGCCATACTCTCCCTGGGAGAGCAGGGAATTGGACGTAAAAGAACCTACAACTGGGCAGGGGAACGACGAAAATGAGTTCATGCCCCAGGGGCTGCTGTGGCGGTCGACGTCAGCGGGTCGTGAGATGAGTTTGCACGCCTTTATGGCGCTCCGACAAATGCAATACAAAGACTCCCATTAGCTACACATTACACTGTTTCTGGCTCATTATTTCTGAATTTGATAGTCATTGTGGTGGATTTTCCGAATTTCTGACGCTGCATGCATGTCCCATGTGCGTCAACAACGCACAGTATTTCACAACACGTCAGTATTTCACACTTTCCTTTTCCCGCGTTATCACCACAAATATATCAGTTTTGTATGTGACAAACCATTATATATTAGCAGTTTGGTATATATTTTAATCATTCCACGTCTACCTTCAATGAAGGAGTTATCAATATCGTCTAGGGAAGTGTCCTCGCAATGGTGATGGTTGTGTGCAGGAGGGTCTAGTCAGCCACGTTGACACCGCAGTGTAATGGTGGAGGTGACTCAACATTTTCTTCAACGGCCAAGAGCTCTGTCCCACCCTGTAAAATAACTCCATTGAAGAATCTAACCAAAAGAAAACATGGAACAGAGAGCTGGAGCCGGGGGAGGCACCCACCAGGCCCCGTACCGGATGCGCAGTCAAGAAGGATGACGCAGTCGCGCCCCCACGCTTGACTGGCAAAGAAAATGAACCTGAGCCTTCGAAGTAGGAAGGTAGTTGGCTTGCGCCTTGGTGAAGTGTTCGAGCTGGATGTCTGGTTGCTGAATGTCTCAGTACTCCTTGTCAGGTTTGTGCCATTTTTCGCACTCACTGATTCTATATGATCTGGTTACGTTGTTGGCCATTAGCAAGCCGTGAAACGTCAATGCGCACGGGAACGAGTTCTTCGGAACACACGTGAAAAAACGCGTAATTTAGAATTAGATTCTCACGTTTACAACCTGCCTACACGAGTCGGCTGCTTTCCAGTTTCTAACAGTTTTCTGATGTTTTATCCTGGCGACAGTGTGTTGCGAAACTTTTCCTTGAGAACAATTCTCAGCCTAACTGACTTTTACCCGAATGCGACTGAAAGAAACCCCATGACTGCCAAATCATGGCGCCGATGGATGGTTGCAGTAAAGGGTTCTGTTCACGAGGTCCATGCCCAAACATTCTCAGAATGACTTTACAATGGAGCAAGCCAGTTGAGAATATTTCAAAAATGTACATTTCGGAGCAGTAGACAAAAATGATGGAGCAAGTGTGAACAAGTCTAATTGTTGGCACTGTGGTTACCCTCGATCCTGTTCTGTATCCTGTAAGTAATGGCTATGATTAAAACCAATGGTCCTACTGTGTTAGGTCTGGTCCTAAGGGCCAACACACAGCATTACTAAGGTTCTTACAGTTATTGTAAATAATCAAGGAATAGAAAGACAAGGAAAAGGGAGCTCGCATTCTCGGACCAAGTCTAGCACAGCAAGCATGCAAAACCAGCCACGAGCCCAGGCCCGCATGTGCGCCTTATCACATTACATACACAGCATTCGCCCCCCCAAGATTTTTTTTGGGGGTGGGGTAAAATCATAAGCAAAGAGGCAGTCTAATTTGGTGCCGACAGATATAGAGGTAGCTGTTGAAAATACAACGACCGGATAATGCAAAAGTAAAAAGGTCAAAAACAAACAAACAGACATTACAAACACGAGAGAGCTTGGAAGCTCAGGGACCTGCGCTATGCTTTTTTGCCTTGATGACCTAGGGATGTTATAAATTTTTCATTTCTCCTATATTTTTTTAGATATGACCTGGATTCGACCCCGCACTATCGCCCTGCATGCATCACCCGATATACTTCGCATACGTACTAATTCTTCCAAGTTGCTTCACGTTATGATCTTGCATTTGAAAGCTGTATTTGAATATCGTCACCAGCTGTTTGCGGCCAGCCGTCTTTCATGATACGGTACGGTATGAGACAGATACGATCGAGGGTAATACGACATCGTTTACCACATTGATGACCTAAAAAAAGCATAGGGATGACAATTTTCAATTCTCCTAATTTGTTTAGGTATAACTTGGGATTCGAACCTGCGCTATTGCCCTACATGCATTCCCCAATACACTTAGCATTCCTACTCATTCTTCCAAGTTGCTTCATGTTATGATCTTCCATTTGAAAGCCCTATTTGAATATTGTGGCCAGCTGTTTGTGGCCAACTGTGTTTGATGGTACGGTACGGTACGGGACAGATACAGGATAGCGCCAGGCGTGACACAAACAAAAAATAAATACCAAATTAAAGCTGTGTGGACCCTGGCTAGTGCCAGACGTTACTGAAGTAACATCTTCTGCATAGCTACGGGAATAATTATACTTATAACAGTTACTGCAGCTTCCAGCATAGTCCATGAGAGCTGAGCTATATATCGAGGTAGGAATGACAGATAAAGTTAGCCAATATTGCATAGCGTTGGGGAATTCGAACAGATCGGAAGAGAAACCATGCGAATGTTTCAATGAATTAAATGAAAAACAATCTTATGTGAAGACTGTTCGTCATGACCTACATGTAGAATATTCATCTGGCCCAGAAATGTCCACTTCCTACACTCAGGCCGCATCAGATCAAAATAACGGGACAAGCAATACATACTCAAAGGTAATAGTACGCAGTTTGAACTCCGACCGACATGTCTCTGTGCTTGGGCGCAGAGACATGTCGGTCGGAGAGACGCAAGGGTGCCGGCGCAACAACACTGGGAGCCGTCTCGAGTCCAACGGCGTCTGCTGCTGGGGCTAGCGTATAATCCGGCCTGACAGTGCCACTGTTGCTGCTAGCGTCCGGAAGTGGTAGAGGAGAATCCAGTACTGTCGGCGAGTCACTGGTCGGTGTAGGCAGCTGTGCGACCACCGCCTGGTCCACAGAAGAAGAAATGGGTACTTGGCCAAACTACACCGCCCGCGGTCGTAGTTCTTCCCTATGGCGCTTCCTGACGACATCATCCAGCTGCACTCCGAAACTGTGAGAGCTGTGGACATGCACTACAGTAGCTGGTACCCAAGTTGCTCTACTACCAAAGTTCAGGGCAAACACAGCGTCACCGGTGTTAAACTTTGGCGTAGTCAAGCTCTCCTGGTACACCTTGACCTGCCGATGACTCTCAGACTGCCACAATGCATTGAGCCGGATTCTCGGTTGCCGGCCCATAAACAGCTCCGCCGCCGTCTTCCCACTGGAGGTCGGCGTTGTTCGATGCAGTCAGAGAAACCGGTCGAGCCTGACGTTGAGTGGTTCACCAGTATTCGACATTTCTTTCATCTTCTGCTTGAAGACGCCAATGTAGCGTTCCGCGAGGCCATTAGTTGCTGGATGACCTGGCGCCGTCGTTGGCGCCGTCGTTGTGTGTAGAATGCCATTGCCATCCAGGAACGCTTGGAATTTTGCACTCGTGAACTGACTGCCGTTATCTGTAACCAAGTGTTAACGCAAACCAAACACAGAAAACAGATGGCGTAAAGCAGAAATCGTGGTTGCACTGGTTGCATGAGCCATGGGTATTACATCCAAGTACTTAGAGTAAGCATCCACCACCACCAAGAACATTTTTCCCAGAAATGGCCCGGCAAAATCAATGTGTATCCGTTTCCATGGACCCGTAGGCCATGAACAAACACCGGGTTTTGCCGGTGGGCATTTGGCATTCTCTTGGCATTGCATACACCCATCGACTTTAGATTCTATATCCTGGTCAAAATCGGGACACCACAAGTAGCGCCGGGCCACTTGCTTCATTTTCACAATGCGAAAATGCTCTGCATGCAGATCTCGTAGCAAGAGCATTCGAAGTGAGTTAGGAATCACCACCCGGTTGTCCCATAACAAGATATCATTCTCCACAGACAATTCCATTCTCTTGCCAGCATATGCCATGAGGTCTTCCTCAATTTCAGCAGGCCACCCATTAACCACATAGCGGATTACTTTAGCCGATACAGAATCCGATTCTGCTCTCACCACAGCCGCTTTGATTATTGAGTCGTTCTCGACAAGCCTGCACCGTGACAGTCTCCTCCTCGCTCGGTGACACAGATTGCATTGGTTGTCGCAAGAGAAAATCCGCATGGACGTTTTCTTTCCCCGCGAGAAACTGCATTTCGTAATCATACGCCACCAGTTGCAATGCCCATTTATTCATTCGATTAGAGGCAAGAGTGGGGACATCCTCGTGATTTCCCAGTAACTTCAAGAGTGGCCGATGATCAGTGACCACTATGAACTCCCTACCGAGTAGGTACTGGCGAAATTTGGTAACTCTGAACACCACAGCCAACGCTTCTCTTTCAATTTGAGCATAGCGTGACTCTGCTGGGTTCAGCTTATGCGACATGAATGCGGACAGTCGTAATTCGCCATTCTTCTGCTTCTGCAGTACTACTGCGCCAAGGCCCACTCCCGAAGCATCCACTTGCAACACTGTTGGCCTTTGTAAATCATAGTGTGCCAGTAGCGCTTCCGAACACATAACATCTTTCAATTAGCCAAAACTTGCTCGTGAGTGGTCTCCCAGTGCCATTTCCAGCCTTTTTCAAGAGGTCGTGCCAAGGAGCTGCAATTTCTGCGAAATGAGGCACAACCTTCCGCACGAAATTTGAGGAACCGATGAAAGATTGCAATTCGGCAACATTCTGTGGTGGTTTGGCCATTTTCAGTGTCTGTAATCTGGCTGTTGAAGGGGAGACGCCCTGCCCACTAATCGTGTGACCCAAGTACAGTCTGTATCGGCTATAGAGTGACCGGATATAAGCATATATCGGCTACAGTGATATTGGCACGAAATATCAAAAGCAAAACGTATGTTATCCAGCAAAAATATCACTATAACCAATATTTGAAGCTCGGATGTTGAGCCATAAATAAATGTAGAAAGGAAAAAGACATTATGGATACGAGTTAAGAGTAACTCTCCATTACTGTAACATGATACTTTATACAGTCAGAAAGTGCAATAACTAGGCACAATACTGACAGAGTACTGAGACATTCGACATCCTGACACCTACCTTCCCCTCTTTGGTCTTTTCCATAACCTTGAACCTTCCAAGTTGGAAGGCTGTCGGTTAGCGCTACGGAGATGTGTAGAAGCTAGGTGTCAGGACGTCGAATGTCTCAGTACTCTGTCAGTATTGTGCCTAGTTATTGCACTTTCTGACTGTATAAAGTATCATGTTACAGTGATGGAGAGTTACTCTTAACTCGTATCCATAATGTCTTTTCCTTTCTACATAACCAATATTATCGGATGTAATGATATATCCTATATACATCCTACCAAAATTCTACTTTGTTCTCCCAGAGATTTGGGCTCACATGCTATTTTGGACTTACACTTTGTATGAATCTACACAGGTGGGTGGGACGCAGCCCTCACTGTAATCCACACACTCCACCTACAAACTAGCACGCAAAATAGAGTAATAAGACATTCTTCCAGGATCATACATCCTATAAAAATTCTACTTTGTTCTCCCAGGGATTTGGCCTATAATCAACTTGTTCACCTACCTGACGGGCTGTTCAAAGCCACAACCAAATTACAAAAACTGTAAGTCATGTTGTGAATGTACCGTAAAAAGGCGTTTTTGTCGTAGTTCTTTTGAGATGTGGCAAATGGGATTTCGCGATATGGCATCTCGTTGATTGATCTCATGTACCCTTTATGACCCGAAGCTGACGCCGCTCGTGGAAGACTTTTCCAGGTAGAACTCCGTATTGGAAGCAAAGAGCTGAGATAGTGTCTTTACAAGTTCCATTGCGCATTCCTTCAAGAAAGAAACTAGCTCTCAGACTTATCGTTTAGTATCGTTTAGTAGACATGTCGACTATATCTGTAGCAAAGTCAGTAAAGCTGTTGGCTATCTCATGTCTCATTGCTCCCACCTACCGCCAAGAGTGCATAAACAAGAGTATGCAACTGTGGTTATGGGCCAGTGCGCGGCGCGCTGCCTTCATTACGTAACTTGCCTCCATCACGCTCTGAAAGCATGCACTCAAACCCACAATTTCTCGTACGAGCCCATCCGTTTTTGCTCGATTCATTCCAGTACCTACGCGATCTCTAAATTTTGGCGCGTGAACTCCAGTTCCGTACGAAAATTCATTTCAAACCAGAGGGAAAGCGTAGTGTTTGATTTTCCGCAGTGCGCGGACTGCAGCTGAATGATGTAATGAAGGCAGCGCGCCGCGCATCTAGCCCATAGAAAAGAGATCACAGTTGCATACTCTTGTTTATGGACTCTTGCTACCGCTTGAATGCATTTGCCTTTTTTATCATTGCTATATTCTCCCCATTTTTCTCTATTACTCAACCGCCTGGTCATCCTTACCAAGTACATCGTTAATGAGTACCCTGGAAGTCCACAATAAGAGGATACTGAAAGTCCTTTTCCGCAAACCTTCCCTATCTCTAGTCAAGCGGATCGAAAACTGTGTATTGTTGTTCATTCTATTCGTCTTGACAAAGCCCCGCCACATTTGCGCAAATATAACTGGGTTCTTCCCACTCGTCCTACGCACAATCCCTGCATTTTACCTAAAGCCCGAACATCAGCTTATACCAGATCTCCGTTTTTTGCTGCCTATTCTCTCTGGCTGGCCCAGGCTCTATCAGTAAAATCGTCTTGTACCCTAAATGATTTCAAGGCTAATATGAAGCTCGTGTTCTAATAGAGAGGTTCTGCTTTACGTGAAACGTAGAAATCACGTAGAGAGCAGGTGTCTGGGTTAGAGTCTTCGGCTTCGCATGTTTTGGGTCCAGACTTCTACGCGGAGATGAGGTTCTCTACGTTGTGGCACACGCAAAGAAAATGCGTACGGATTGGCTGGGTATCGATCAACAGATGCAGAAAACTGCCAAATATGGAAGGGGAAATTCCCAGTACTCATTCCACGTGACTTCTCTACGTGAAGAGTAGAGCAGAACAGGATGTCTTTACGTTACGGGAACGCGAAGAGACTTCGCGTGATTCTTTGCGTCGCGTTACCAAAACGTAGAGCAGAAACTCCCTAATAACTGCTAATTCTTTATCGAGGTTAGTTTCTCTTTGCCTCCAGTAATGTGCTTTTTTTGTTTACTGCCATGGCTGGCTACTGCCTCCTCCCTCCATGTTGGCCTATATTCTCTGGCCACGGGAAGGTGAAATAAAAATAAATAAAATGAAATTGCATCGCAGCTCAAAGAAACTATTTGATCACAAAACGAATTGGGACCCATGCCGCTCGTCAACATTTACAACACTTTCGTTTTGACAAGTTCACTCTGACTCCATTATCGATACGAGGAAGAACTCGTTTGTTGTAAACGAAACGTGCATGACTGTATCGACGTGAGTGAGTTGTCATTCTTCCTGCTTTCATGCGGAATATTTCTTCCAGTTCACAGTGAGTTTTTCCAGGCAGCTCTCGAGTGCTCATATGGTAAGATGGCAAACTCCGCTGGCGATCGCCAGGATTGCTAATCTTTTTGAAACGTACTGTAGGTCCATCAAATTCATTCAATATCGAATATCCAATGTTAATTGTATGAACCACATAGCTGGCTGTACTTCTTGAAGAAATGAAGAAAATCTATCTGGCCGCTTTTAGAAAACGCTCGGTGGAGTACAGATATTTGCGTTCGGAACCGAATGATTCTAGTCTATACATGTTGCCACTCACCGACTTACAATATTTAATGCTCGCTCCATAGCAAACCAGTCGGGCAAACTCATTCAAATCGGTGAGGACGACGGAAAGCGCCCCCTCAACGCCAGCACGCCAAACACTGCAGCGTGGTCACCTCCACCGAGTCTGACAAGAAATTTGAACTCACAACCCTTGTCACTCCACACAACTACCATTAATTTTCATTCCCTAAACGACTCCAATTTCACTAGCAGCAAAGCTCTGCAGAAGTGCAAAATATATTGAACAAATCTCGATTTGTACGATCGAAGCACGATATTTATGCTTCCTAAAACTGGCCATGCGCCGACCACAGCGTGACATAGGCGAACCCAGCAAGCGCAAGCTACTAGTGTTTGTCTGGAGGTGCCTTCATGGGAAATCTAGCGCCACATTGTCTGTACTTTTCGTCAGATCTGCTGACAGGATAACCCGTCTTCAGAGGTCTAGTGGTCTGCTCAGTGGGTGCGTTGGATTACACACTTGAATCGATTCATGAATTCATTCGTGAATCGATTCAAGTGCGCACTTTCTTCCAAGTAATCGAACGGCGTGAACATGCTAAAATCGCAATAAGATTTTGGTTACGTGGTCATGACGTTGAACAAAACTTAAAAAGTCAAAAGGTCCGTGCAATCTACGACTTACGGCCCTTTTCAGGAAAAGGGCCATAAGTCGTAGATTTCACGAAAAAACTGCTATTTGATACTGACTTTCTTCTCATCGCTTTTCTTTCACATGTACTTGTACATGATGTAGTCACTTTCGCATGTAGAATATTCCATGTTTACTTTTAAGCTAAGTGTCGTCTGAAAAATGGACAATGCCGAGGCATTCCCGATCCCTTGGATCTGGACGGTGTTTAATGATGACGAGACAGAAGAAATGCTGTTTCCTGCTTGGTGCAATATTGCTCTGTTTATGATGTTCCTTGTTTGTTACCGGAGCGCAGCAGTGCCAAGAGTAACACATTTTGCTGAAGCAACTGTGCCCAGTTATTCTATGAACAATTTTTGCCAGCATTTTCTTCTCCCTCCTTTATCTTGCCTTTACCCTATTTTGTTGCTGGGAGAGGTTTGATGGAGTTGTGTGCATGTGCATGTGGCGGACCATTTTAGTACTAGGGACCTTTCGCACCCCGCGTACGGATACGAAACGAATGCTGATTCGTCACCTGGGTTCGAGGATTCGTCAGAGTCCCTGCGGAGAACTCGTTTTCACGAATGGAAGCCTCTTCATTCGTGGCACGCTCCGAATCTGTCAGGTACACATTTATTTGGATAGGTACACATGTTTTGCAAGGTACTCATTTTTCCCTTGATTCCATGATCTGTGCACGTGTGCTTGTAAAAACCCGTACGCCAAACTACCGGCGCCCGCGGCCGTATTCGTAGTTCCCATGCACATTTGCATGACGACCTGCGAAACCTGAAATCTGTTTTCAACGAAACGATAACGAGCCGAATCAAACTTTCGTTTCGCATTCGTTTCGTAGCAAATGCGAAAGGTCCCTACTGTCATGACTTTTCAACACGTGGCTTCTTTTCTTTTCTTTTTTCACATCACCCCATGTGGATCCGTGGAATCGATTCCGAATCGTTTCCAGGGCTCATGACATGGAAATCGAACGACTTGAATGCATGCGAATGAATTTATGAATCGATCCAAGTGTGTAATTGAACGCACTCAGCCGGGCCATCCTCCACTCGCTCTGGCGTTTCTCGGCCGTAAGTCGCAGGATCTGCACTCTGGAACCTGCTGCCGGATTATCTTGGGACCATAGCAAGACAGAACAAGTTTAGCATAAGTTGCCTACCATATTGTTGGTAAGATTAGCCCGCCCTTAGCTCTCCTCAACCACCCTGTCTGTCTCCCCTGATACTCGCTTGTCAGATACTTTCGTAATTTTCTAATTCCTGTCCTCTCTTTTCTAAATGCGGCTTATCCATTCGCCTTTTATAACATTGGGTCTAGTTCCCGCTTATTGTGTGAATTAAAATAAACCAACCAACCAAGCAAAATAGCAGATCGAATGATTTGATTGAGTTGATCGACGATCAAGATCAGAATCAAAATCTGGACGATGAAGGCTGATCAGCAACACGATGTTTGCGTACATTTACATGAGTTGCCGGAGTTCGCAGCATGCAGCAAGGTGTGGGTTTTCCTCAGGTTTGGTGAGGAGCGCGCGTACGTCTGCTTGTTGTAATTTTCTTGTCGAGCAACTATTTGTCTCCAAAAGGTCGACACTCTAATCAATGACAATGCAGGGCTGGTTGACCACGCAGCGTTTGGTGTCAGCGCGACTCCATCGACCTGGCAAAGAGGATATTTTGAAAACCAGCTTGTAATGAAAATTTGATTTCTAGGACTCGGATGACTACGCTAAAAACCCCAATAATGACTATTGTGTTGAGCTCATCACGTTATCTGGTTGCAGGAATATAGATCAGGTGGGAATAGAGACATTATGTCGATAGGAATCAACTTTATTCTCTTTGTCGAGCTATGTCGCTCCAGCAACAGAGGTCATCCATGCGTGAAACACAAAATCACTGTTGGCATCCTAAAAAAATGCATGAAACACACCACCAACTTACCAGATACACGAAATAGCAATGGATGCATTTCCGTACCCAACAAGTCGATCTCTCCGGAGTGCACCTCAAAAGCGAGTGCTCGAACCTGTGGCGACTACGTCATACTGGCCAACCCTCCCGGTTTTCCCGGGAAAATCCCGGGAAATCAACACTACTCTCGGGGTCCAGGGGATTTGAAGGAAAATCCCGGAAATCACAGTTTCGTCTGATACAGGATTTTCCTGAAAACTCCATGGATTTGCTTTGAACGTCCCGGTTTTTTTCCAAAATATGTACGGTTCGCACTCGCACTTCGAACTGTAAACGACACTTTCAAGACCTGACCACAAGATCTGCACTGACAGGCGCTATAGGCGGGCGCCGACGCGCCGACTGATCGAACTGCAATGCAGGGTTGAACTGTGCCGTAAGCAGATCTGCAGAGTTGAACTTTTTTTGGCGGAAAAAAGCCCTTTTCGCTTGTTTTTGTACCATCCAGGGATTCTGCATGTATTGTCAACGGATTGAGATTTTGGTGGTTGGTCTGCATGCTACGTGGTCGAAATTTCAAAGGAGATTCCTGGAAATCAGGTTGCAGCTAGATCCCAAATCATGAAGTGCAGGGCATCGTGCCTCTTCATGGTTTCACTCAAGCAGCTTTCCATCAAGAGTACATAAACCCCAGAGTGTGCAACGCCTGATCCAGCTCTGCATAGGGTCTTGGTCGAGCGGAATCGGATCTTTGCGTCATAATACCGTACAAATCTGAAGGGAACCCGGGGAGTCGCGGGTACTCTTGGATCAAAAACAATGATGCCCTGCCTCGAGACCGGCCTTGCACTGGTGTGGAGTGTATGCATGACATCAGAAGATCCGATTCCGCTCGACCAAGACCCTATGTAGAGCTGGATCGGCGTTGCACACTCTGGGGGGTTATGTACTCTTGATTCCATCATACATCATAGCATAGTAAATATCATGTTGCTGATCAACCTGATCGTCTAGATTTTGATTCTGATCTTGATTGTCGATCAAATCGATCAAATCCGTCGATCTGCTATGTCACGCGGTGGTCGGCACACGGCCAGTTTCAGGACGCAAAAATATCGCACTTCAATCGCACAAATCGAGATTAGTTCAATATGTTTGCACTTCTGCAGAGCTAGTGAAATTCGAGTTGTTCAGGGAAGCAAATGGTTGTTGTTTGGAGTGACAAGGGTGGCCAGTTCAAATTTCTTGTCAGACTTGGTAGAGGTGACCACGCTGCAGTGTTTGGCGTGCTGGTGTTGGAGCTTGAGGAGGCTCTTTCCGTCGTCGGGTATGGAATTGGCAATGTTGCAATGTGGTGAAGTGAAAATATTTGAATTTGTTTATTTCCAGAAAACCTGGAACACTTTTTTACGAGACATGTCCTGGGTGGTAATGGAGTATAGTCCTCTATCCTGCATTGCATGGTTCAGAAAAATAGACGCTGTAAATGGCTCTCGCTATGGCCCTTGAAATTTGCCTATTTTAGCGATGCAATTTAGTGATATTTGGAGATGATGGCCATTGCTTTCCTGGATGTAGCCATGGCTCTATGTGGTGGTGATGTGAAGACTGCTCAGGTGAGGTAATGTTGGCAGGGCGGTGATTTGTTCTTAGCTCCATTGCGTACGCTGTACCAGCACTCGTTTTTGGACCCAATGTTCAGTCGTATTTTGAGCCCATTTTAGCCAAGGTGTCCGTAAGTTATGCAACGAGCCCTTTTGCATGATTGTCGTAGACCCCAAAGGGAACCTACTCGCAAAATTTGAGTGAAATCAGAGAGATAGCCCTGCCCAGCATTTCTGGTTTTCTCAGATATGCTCTCTTAAAAATGCTATAAGATAAGATGAAAACCTTAAATGTCCCTGTCAAAAGAGTATTTAGACACAATTTCCAACATTCCTTCATTCCTTGTTCAGGTTTTTGCATTATAATAATCTCCGCTATCTTCCCAGTGGAGTGCCTCAAGACACACCTCACTTAATTGAACTGTAAGTCTTGCCTGACTAACAAAACTACACACATTCCCAGTATTTCATGATTCAGCCGTTTGCTCTTCCTCTAAGGATCTCTGCAGACCTGGGATAGTGGGAAGGCTGGGGATGCTGTTTAGGGTAGCCATCGGAAGTGGCCCTACTATTGTGACTATGGAATATGCAAGATAAGTAACACAGGATGCTACTGTCGATGATGAGGAGTATGAGTGTGATTTGCTTAGTTTATGATGCAGTTTTACACAAGGGAATGGTCTCAAACTGCGGAGAGTGCTCAATGCAAGCGAGGCAGAGCTTCATCACACACAAGCGGAAAAATCGTCAGAGATCAAATTCCATTACACAGTGTTTCACCGTTCAAGCAACGGATCATCAGATGGATGATCAAACAAAGTATGATACACTGGTTATATACTCAGAAGGTGTGAACTCCATCACTATGGAGTGTGAAGATTATCATTATGTCGGGTCCCGGATGTGACAAGTCCATTTTTCATGATGCATTGTACAGAGTGCCTAGGTGCTAGATGAGGGTGATGATATTGCGGGGTGTGACCAGCCCATTCTTCATGATGCATTGCACAGAGTGCCTAGGGAAAGGTGATAGCGCAGAGTGGTGCCATGCCAGGTAACAGATATAGAGGCGCTACCAAGGCCATAGAATAATCACTGTCCTTATGTGATTGGCACAAAATTTGATAGGACATACTTGCTTTCGTGCCTGCATTTCGACACAATCTCATTTCGCTTGTTTAGCCTAGTGCGGGCGTCGGTTTCGAGGATGTGATACTTCTCGGTAGTGCAGAGGCCGCATCTCTTGGACGTGTTATCGAACGAGGTGGCCCTGTCGCGGATCTTCCAGTCAATGACGTACTGTCTGTTGTCCCGCTTCATCGACCAAACATGCTTTGACAACTCGGTGGAATTCTCATAGCGGTAATGCCTGAGTGTAGTCAAATGGTTGGAGTAGCGAGCTTTGAAAGGCGGCGCAGACATGCCGGTATAGACCTTGGCGTTACGGGTGTCGTCCGACACCATGGCCTGGTAGATGACGTTGTCCGCCTGGCAATTTCCTTCGAGTGGACACGAGTTCTTGATCCTGCAGTTGCAGTCCTTGTCCGGTGTTGGTGGGTGCAACACTCTCTGGTTGTGGGCCTTGATGCAGTTTTATCATAAGCAGATCAAGACTTTGCAGTGTGTTGCAAATTCCTGTAGGAGGACGAATAGCTTCTTTCGGCTCATACCCACACATTATTTCATACACCTACTTCGAAGTAAGTTTATACATCTCTTATACATCTAAGTTGGAAATCGATAGGCACATCAGCAAGAGATGGAACCTCTGCCTAGAAGAAACCCTCCAGACAAGACACCGCTACTGCATTGTAGGAGTGAGCTTGTATGTAAATGACTCGCCAACCAATTCCTACTCAAGAACCCCAATGCAGCCATGACATATTCGCAGGTGTGCAACCACCCCTAAATTGCAATTTTGTCTCTCACCCTCTACCTTTGCTCTCCTCCCTCTTCCCTTAGCCTCGTGCTGCCCGTTGTACGAGGAGCCAAACCACCCAACCCATTGCAGTGAACACATTGCGTACTTCTGATGGTGTCAATTCTTTTTCGAACCGTGCTGCGTTGTTCTTTAATGCGCTACCCTCTGAACTCCGCAGTTCTTCTCACACTGCATGACGTGCAGAAATTCAACAACTTTTTGAAGGACCCAATGCTGACCGCTTCTTTTTCTTTGCTGCAAGTCACACTCCATGTATGTTCTTCAATATCTTTACCTTTACTGTGTCTTCACATTGGCTATAGCCTCATTGTTTAACTTTTCTTCTTCCTTTTACCTCATCGGCGCTCTTTAAATTTGTTTGTCAACACTGTTGAGTTGTTCGATGTTAAATAAATACTATACACCACACCACCACATTTCGCTCTTGGCCGATCCAAACTCTGCGCCGTAAAGCGACAGTGAAATTACGAGACAAACGGGAAAGTTCCTCAACATCCATTGCTAGATCGAAATTTAGCAGCATCGGACGCAGCACAGCCCTGACTGGAGTGAATGCCCCATGGGCCTCTCGGTGTGTCAAGTGGCTGTTTTGCGGCAGAAGATGCTGACTGAAGGCGCAGGCAACATCAGTGTAGTGTTCAACGGGTATGGCGGCGTGGTGTGGCTGTGTGCGACGGGCTGGCAGGACAGTGATTGCCTCAGGGGCCTCTGGGTCTGCCACGTTGGCCAGTTCGCTTCGTCGTTCGTTCCCTGTCACGTTACTATGGGCCAAGTACAGTCAGCCACAGTATCTTTGTTTTTGTGGCACATGCAATAACTAACCTTTCTGGTGTTAGACTGACTGCTGTTTTTGCGCTCCCCCCCCCCCCCTCCTTTCACACGTGCTTCATGTTCCTGTCCCAGCCATGAGCGTGTGTCGTTATCACCTGACCTTGTTATCACTTTTGTCACTTAGGGTATGCCACGCTTCTATGCAGAATGAACGCAATTGCGCCAATTTAGCCCTATAAAGATTAGTCAATTCTTTAAGTTCAATTCTTATTATTCTAATAAAGGTTTGCTCTCCACACTGGAGCTCGCGCTATTCCGCCGACTTTACTTGACACTTGACTGACTCACGACTGCCATCCAGAGCACACAAGAAGTCCATCGAACCTTCGACTCGGCAAACCTGCAAGAAAGCACCACTCCCTGCTCAATACACAGTGTTTCGGGGAATTCACCCCTCATCAGTTGAGCTTGAGTAGGCTGAGGAAGATTGTGCCTGAAGAGCACCACTCATATAGTGCTCTCCAGGCACAAACATCACCAGGGATACAAACTTACAGAGACGCTCCGCTTCCAGCGCGACAAACACCTCGTGAACACCAGATAGCAGCGTGAGTCAGTATCGCTCCTGGACGGTGACGTCGACGACCCTCGGTCATTCGCAACGCTGTCACCTCCAAACCAACTAGTCGCAAGCCCGCGCTGGGCACAACAGTACGAAGTAGTGGTTGCGACTTCGGCGATGATTTGTAGGAAAGGTTTGCTCCCCACAACGGAGCTCGCGCTATTCCGCCGACTTTACTTGACACTTGATTGACTCACGACTGCCATCCAGAGCACACGAGAAGTCCATCCAACCTTCGACTCGGCAAACCTGCAAGAAAGCACCACTCCCTGCTCAATACACAGTGTTTCGGGGAATTCACCCCTCATCAGTTGAGCTTGAGTAGGCTGAGGAAGATTGTGCCGAAGTCGCAACCACTACTTCGTATTATTATTCTAATATTATTAATATTAACTGGTTTGAGGGAAAGAGACAAACGGGAAAAGTCTGAAGAAAAAATTGATTGTCACCACCAGGACTCGAACCAGGGACCCTTGCTTATAGCCTGCGATGCTCTAATAAAACAACGATGCTCTAACCACTGAGCTATGGTGTAGTCGTCATCCCAGCAGAGACCGTTCAAAGTTTTCTTCAGACTTCGAAATATCATTATTATTATTTATGTTAGGTTGAGCACTCTTACCTTAACACGAACCCTTGCCGCTCGCCCTGTGCAGCGCTCACTGCTCTTGGAGCATTTCGAGCACTTTTCGCGGGGTTTGCAGCTCTTTATCAAAATGCTTTGCTTCACGGCAACGTATTTCATTGCAAAGAGCTGAGCTTCGGTCCTCTGAGCTGTGCTGAGGAGCTCTAACAGAGTGAAACAGTTGCTGTCCACAGATTTGAGTATTATTATTATATATTATTATTCACAGAGGCAATATGCTTTGGTTCTGGAAGAGTGCGCAATGCCTGATTCAAGCAGAGCGCCGTACACAAAGGCACACAATGAAAACCTTGGCAAATTTATTCCGTTGTGACTCCGAGTTTCATGGCTGAACCAATCATCAGACAACGATAATGGAATAGGAGGCAGCGCTGGTATATCTAAGTGGAGAGAGGTTCAAAAGCTACCTCCCTAAACAAGAGAAGTGAGCTGGTATCTAAATGCCCTCACCAGCGCAAGTTTCTGCTGGCCACCCCTATTACATAGACAGCTATGACCGCTGCGAGTTTTTTGACGCGTGATTGCAGGAGTTTGTGTGCGCTTAGACTTGTCATACAAACGCAGATGCCTGTGTATACGTGTGGACATGTGTCTATAGGTGTGTGTATATGCGTGTGTGCATGTGTTTGTGCGTGTCCGAGTTAGGGTGTTGTGGGTGGGTGGGTGTCCTGTGTGTGCGTGCGCTCGTGTGCAAGTTAGGGTGTTGTGGGTGGGTGTATGTGTGTGTTAGTGTGTGCGTGTATGTGTGTATGTGTGTGTGTGGGTGTTACTATGTGTGTGCGTGTTAGTATGTGTGTGTGTGTGTGTGGTGTATGAGCGACATTAAGCGCGTACTTGTTAGTGCTAGACCTGCGCCTACTGCATCTGCCTCTGAAATAGCCCGTCCCTGTATACATTCACGCGATTACTCCCCTCGCTATCGTATTATCACACCTCTCTCCACTTAGATATACCAGCGCTGCCTGCTATTCCATTATCGTTGTCTGATGATTGGTTCAGCCATGAAACTCGGAGTCACAACGGAATAAATTTGCCAAGGTTTTCATTGTGTGCCTTTGTATAATATATTATATTATTCCCGTAGCTATGCAGAAGACGTTACTTCAGTAACGTCTGGCGCTAGCCAGGGTCCACACAGCTTTAATTTGGTGTTTGTTTGTGTGTTTGTTTGTTTGTGTCACGCCTGGAGCTATCCCGTATCTGTCCCGTATCTGTCCCGTATCTGTGACTACAAAGGCTCTACAGGATTGTGCATAACAGCTGTCCACAATATTTGCGGGCTCCTGTATCTGTCCCGTACCGTACCAATATTCGTCGTATTATGTATACGACTCCCTGATGTAGAGGGAGATTTGGAAAGAAATAGGGAGACGGGGAGGAAATTAAATTAGAATAGACGCCGAATAGGTGATAGGATGCGTCAGCATAAACATACTTTGGAA